TAAATCTCCACAACCATTCACAGAAACAATGGAATGTTCAAATGACCGTGATAAAGAAAAGAAAAACTGAGGGCGAAAGATGAGGCTTTCCGCTCCCTGAAAGATTTAGAGACTTGGAAACCAGAGCCTCTGTCCTGCAGTCCTGAGGAGGGTGTGGCAGTGAGTGTGGTTCTTTCCCCCTTTTCTGACCATCCACAGCCAGCTTCATATCACAGTTGGTCCACTCTCCATAGTCTTTCAACACTTGCATTTGTGTGTCCTGATTTAGTATGTGGGTCCTTGAAGATAGCTGATTGCTGTTAGGTGCCACCAGTTTGGTTCCAACTAATGACCACCTTACGTTCAACAAAAGGAAACACCACCTGGTCCTTTGTCATCTTCACAACTGTTCTCATGTTTGAGCTCCTTGTTGCAGCCCCTGTGTCAATGTATCTTGTTAAGGGCCTTCCTCTTCTTTGCTTTTCTATTTGACCAAGCACGATGTCACTCTCCAGGAACTGGTCTCTCCTCATAATATGTCCACAGTTCATGAGACCAAGTCTTGCCATCCTTGTTTAAAAGGAGCTTTCTAGTTGTACCTCTTCCAAGACAGCTATGTTTGTTCTTTTGGCAGTCTGTGGTACTTTCACTATTCTTAAACAGCTTCATCATTTCGAATGCATCAATTCTTCTGTGGCCTCCCTTATTCAACTTTCACATGCTTAGACTTCTAAAACCAACAGGCCAGACCTCCACAGAACTCAGCTTGGGACTGTCTACACTTGGCACAGCCCAGTTGGCACTGACTGAGGCTGGTGACAGACTGCTATGTGCTAGGAAGCAGGCATCTTGAATGGAAGCAATATTCAGTCAATAGAAGGAAGGGTAGAAAAGTGGGGAGGAGGAGCTGGTTCTGACCCGCCCAGAGGTCTACCTGAAGTATGGCAATCCCTCTCCCAAACAGCAACTGTCAGTTGCAGGACTAATACAAACTCCTATAGAAGGTTTCCTACAACGGAGTCAGCAGGTGGGTCACCCAATAGGACATTCCCTAACAGAAGGGTCACAAGGAAGGAAGGAGTCAGTCAGGGTGCACTATAGTACCAAGGAAACACACAACATTCCTCTATTTCTTTCATGCTCACCGCAGCCCATCATGACTGCAGTTCTACCTTACAAAGCCAGCTAGACCAGAGCTTGTATAGATAAGAGCTCTTGACACATGGAATCAAGGACAGATAAACCCCTACAGTAATGAGAGTAGTGATGGTAGAGGGAGAAACGGAGAACTGAAGCTGTGGGGGGAAGGGAGCACAAACAACAGAAATGTGGGTGAAGGGAGAAAAGCAGATGCTGTAAGACACGAAAATAACAATTTATATTTTATCAAGGGGGTTCACAAGGGTGGGATGGTGAAGGAGGGAAAAAAGAGGAGTTGATACTAAGGGCTCAAGTAGAAAGAAAATACTTTTAAAATGATGATGGCAACATATGCACAAATGTGATGGATACAACTGATGTATGGATTATTATAAGAGCTGTTAGGATTCCCCCAATAAAATGATTAAAAACAAATAAAAAGGTGGGTTACCAATGTGGACTCTGTTCTCCCAACCACTGGCGTGCCACTGGGCCTCTGAGACCTGTAACACAGATCCTTCAAAAGTCCCGAGTGGTCCTGTGCAGACCTAAAATGATGTCAAGGAGCCCGTGTACAAAAAGAATGTTTGGAAACTGATGGTAGTGGCAACTGTACATTCTACTTGACGTGAATGACATATGGAATGATACATGTG